CGGTTGAAAGACGGAACCCAGGTGTGTCGCAAGTTTAACGCCGGGGAGTGCTCCGAGCCGTGCCCTCGCGGGTATAAGCACGTCTGTTCCGTCGTGATCAACAAGACGGGGCGCTTGTGTGGCATGTCGAACCACTGCGCCCTCAAGTGCACCAGGAGCCCGGGTCTCAGTTTTTTGGTTTCCCTGTTAGCTTAAAGGGGGCGGCCCGGGTCCGGGGGCGCCCTGGGTCCGGGAAAGGCGACGGTTAGCGCCGAATGTTCGGAACACCCGGCGTTGTAGTTTGCGACAGGAACGCGAGCGGGGGCGCGGCCGACGGCGGCAAGCGCGGCCGCAAGGGCGATTGAAACGCACCCGCTGCCGCGCCGCCCGCCGCGGCAGAAGGGGTAGTCACCAGTGGGGTCGCGTGCCCCAGCGTCGTGGGCGTGCGATGGAGCCAGGCGGACATCGCTGTGAAAATTCGGAAGTCCTTTCCGGAAGAGTGGCTGGTGGGCGTTCCCATCCCGTTCTTGCAAGACTTGTTGAATACTTCGCCATTCGTTGATTTCGCCATCTGGGCGGAGCTGCAGGACGAAGGACTACCTCTGGGATGTTCTCTGGGCAGAATTTCCAAGGGGCGCGCGAGCGCCGTGTTGGGTCGCCAGGCAGGCGTGCTCGACCACAGGCTAGCGCTGGCGCCGGTTATCGAACTCGGCGTGGGGGAGCGGGCACACCTCGCTCAATGCATCGAATTCGCGAGCGCGGGGCGATTGCCATTCAACGATGAGTACATGGCACCCGTTGATTTGAAGTATGCTGCCTTTGCCACGGTTGCGTTCGCGTGGGCCGGTGGTAATCGGCTGAGGCAGTGGCGCGAGTCTTGCGCCGGGGCGTTGAAGGAGCTTAGTCAAAGGCTGGCGCCGGTGTCCCGCGCCCTTCGGCTCCGGCAAAGCCCCTCAGTACATGCCGTGGCGCAGAACACCCACATCGCGCTGATTTGTGTTCTGACTTGGGTGATGGGTTGGCCGGATTGGCAGCTGGCCCAGAGATTTGTGACCGGCTTCAATATCGTGGGGCGTTTGGAGGAGACGGGTGTCTGGGAGCGGTGCGAAAGTTCGGAACCTGTTTCTGAAGACCGCTTGTTGGCGGAGTCCACCGCGCTTTTACGTTCCAGGGACAAGCGACGGGTTGATCCTGAGGCTGAGTTTCTTTGGGAATCATGCTTGAAGGAATGCGAAAAGGGCTGGGCTGCTCCTCCTGCGTCGCTGGCCGCGATGGACCGCGAGTACGGCGCCGGGCGCTGGGCGGCCGTGCCGTCGTTCGTGCACGCGCAGCAGAACGGCAAGCGTCGGCGGATAGACGATGCTAAAGCCGGTGGGCAGAACGGCGCGACGGTGTACCCTGAGAAGTGGCACTTGCCATCAGCGTTCACGCCTGCATTGCTTGGCAAAGTCTTGAGGCAGCGGTCGGGAGGTACGCCAAACACCGGAGGTGGCCTTTTCCCCCTCCCCGCCGGCCGGTGTGTCGCGGGTTTCCCGCGGGCCGTTCCCCCGGGTCCGTTCGTGTGGGCCTAGTGGGCCCCTCAGGTGTCCAAGGGGCGTGGTCCGGCCCGGTGTTTGGCGTGCGCCCTCAGGCAGGAAGCTGCGGCGGGAGGCTTTGCTGATGAGGGCTTAACCCTTGAGACTGGAGGCGAGGACCTGCCGGACGCAAGCAGGTCCGTGCCGGTCAATCCCGCGCAGCTGCGATATAACGTCATTGCGGCGCGGGAACCGCGCAGCGGGGAGTGGCGATACTTGACTGCATTCGCCATGCTGTTCGGCTTGTCGTCGAGTGTTATGAATTTTACTTCGAATTTGTAATAGACCTTGCCCCGAAGAGAAGCGTCGACGTGAGCCCGCCCTCGTGTCCGCTGATTGTGATCGCAAGCGACGCGCGGGCTGACGGGGCGACCGCGCCCACAGGCGGCTACCTCCTGGTCGATTGCTTGACAGGGGAGCGTGCGGGAGGATGGTGTGTATTCGACGATGCCATACTCGCGGAGGGGGGTTTCTCGCCGGCGGACCGGGAGAGGGGCGCGAATCCGATCGCCCTCTGTGAGGGGGCCATGGTCCCCATTGTCCTGGCGCAAGAGGCGCGGAGGTGCCGAGGGATGCGCATCCTGTGGGTGCTTGACAACACGAGCGCTCTCCACAGCTTCGCGAGTGGCAGGTGCGACCATGCTACCCTGGACCGGAGCGTCAAGCTTATGAATTTCTTCAAGGCGCGCGCCGCGAGGGCAAATCGCGGGGGGACGCGCCGCGCAGCGTGTCGCGCCAGTTTCACTGCGACATGTCCACCTGGCTCGAGACGGTATACTCGAAAAGCAACTGGTCGGACGGGATCTCACGGCGCGCCGTACGCGCGCGGGGGCGGCCTTCCCCCGAGTCGTCCACTCGCGCGGTGCCAGGCGGCTCGGCGAGGATAGCTTCGCCCGGGAGAATGGTTTTCGTACCGGCGAGGTGAGAGTGGACCCGGCCGCGTGGCGCGGGTGCTAACTAGACGCGTGGCGTTGGGTGCTACGGCGCGCGGAAGGCGCGTTCCGCGAGGGCAATTCGCGGGGGGTGGGCCGCGGCGTGCAGCGTGCCGCGCCAGGCTCAGTGGATTCGCCGTAAAGAAGGAGTCCGCGCAGGAGAGGTGAGCGCGGGCCCAGCCGCGGGGCACGGGCATGCCACAGACACGGGGCGCCGTGTACATCGACGCGCGATTGCGGAGCGGCGTCGGACCCAGAACAGCGTTGGGGGTGCAGAAACGCGGAGCCAGAGCAGCGTTGGGGAGAGCGGCATTACTGGCGAGCCACGCCAGGGTCTTGCCCTCTTCACGCAGGTGTTCCATTCGGGGGGTTTGGTCACCCCAAGGTCGTTCTGCACCCCCGGGGCACCGTTACACTTTCTGGGGTCGGGGGACGGGGTATGGGTTGGGGGAATGGGTGGGAGGATGGGGCCGTCGCGCGCCGTGTTCGCAGGTGGTGCGCGCGCGCGCGCGCGGAGGAGCGGGCCGCCCGCGTGCGCTTCGCGCCGCGGCGGGGCGCGTGCGATGCGCGGCGCGCGAAAGTTGCCAGGGGCCGCGCAGGGCGCGGCGCGGGGAATAGGCTGTCGGTGATTATGCGTTGACTTTAGGCTCGGGGAGGGTCGGGTCAGGGAACCATAATCATGACAGAAGGGGACGCCCGCGCGCGCTCGCAGGGACTGCGCGCATCAGAGCGCGCAATTGGATCGTGCGAGCAAAGCGCGTTGGCGACAGCGGTTGCTGTTGGTTTGTTTCCCACCCACCACGCCCTGGGCCCCGGTGGGGTTACCGGGGAGAATTTGGGATGGGCGCCGGCGTGGACTTCGCCGTGGAAGAGGCGATGCGCACCGGCTGCGAGGGGTCCTGCCTCGGGTCGGCCGAACGTGTGCGTCGCAGGTGCGAGAACGCCGCGCAGGTCAGCGCGTGCGGGGAGGGGGCCTTCCTTCCCTGGTGGCCGCTGGCAGCGGTCGCATCACAGGTGTAACGTCTGACAGGTGCGCGACATGTTTTGCGCGCGCGAACACGCCCGCCGTATCCCGACCCCCGGCGGGGTGCTCGGGTCGGCGAGGGCGGCGCCGGACGCCGGCAGTGTTCGCTTTCCCCGAGGGGAGAGCGGCATTACTGGCGAGCCACGCCAGGGTCTTGCCTTCTTCACGCAGGTGTTCCATTCGGGGGGTTTGGTCACCCCAAGGTCGTTCTGCACCCCCAGAGCACCGTTGCACTTTCTGGGGTCGGGGGACGGGGTATGGGTTGGGGGAATGGGTGGGAGGATGGGGCCGTCGCGCGCCGTGTTCGCAGGTGGAGCGCGCGCGCGCGCGCGGAGGAGCGGGCCGCCCGCGTGCGCTTCGCGCCGCGGCGGGGCGCGTGCGATGCGCGGCGCGCGAAAGTTGCCAGGGGCCGCGCAGGGCGCGGCGCGGGGAATAGGCTGTCGGTGATTATGCGGCCCCAGCGGGCTCGACCACATGGTGGCGCCGCCTCCATTTCGGCACACCCCCTCAGGAGGACCGTGGCTACATATAGTGAGATCTACGTACGGTCTCAGCGGGGCCGACTGCATGGCAACGCCGCTCCCTTTTCGGAACAACCCTCAGAAGGATAGTGGCCCCATCAGGAGCTCCACCTACGGTCTCGTTAGGCCCGACGCCATGGTGGCGCGGGGTCCATTTCAGCAACTTCCTCGTGAGCATAGTGGATCCATAGGGAGCTCCACCTACGCCCCATGGGGGCTCGATCTCATGACGGCGCCAGACCCCACCTCAGCACAACCCATCACGAGAACCGTGGCCCCGTAGGGAGCTCCACCTACGGCCCCAATGGGCCCACCCGCATGGCGGCGCCGCGCTCATTTTGGCACCCCCGATCACGAGGATCGTGAACCCATAGGGGAAACTCAACCTGCGGCCCCAGCGGGTTCGACCGTATGCCGGCGCCGCCCCCATTGCGGCACATCCTTAACACGGATCGTGGCCCCAGAAAGTGAGATCCACCTACGGTCTCGGTAGGCCGAGTGGGCCCAACCGCATGGTGGTGCCGCGCCCGTGTCGATACAACTCTCACTAGGACTGTGGCCCATAGGGAGCTCCACCTGCGGCCCAAGCGGGCTCGACCGCATGGCGGCGCCATGCCCATCTCGGCTCACCCCCCACGAGGATTGTAGCCCCGGCACTCCTGCAGAAACCGTACATAGCTCAAGGCCTAAGCCAACCAAAACAGCATCGGGAAACACACATTGTAAGAGGGCCTTTCAGAGACCCTTTCAGACATCTTCCTGGAGAGGCTTCCGGGAGCATTGTTCTCGTCTCTCCGGACATGTTCCTGGAGAAGCTTCCGGGAACATGGTTCATGCTCCTGGAAAAGAGGGGAAGCGGGGCCAGATTTCGGAGAGTGCGTGGGCGTGGCATGGACTTCGTACCGGGGCCCTCTGACGGGCCGCATGGGCCGAACTGAAGCGGATATTTGGGATCGTTGAAGCCCACGAGGTGGGAGCCGCTGGTGGAGGACGGCAGGCGCCGCAGCTTCTCGTACGTGCTGCGGCGGCACCGCACGGGGCTCTCCGAGGAGGAGCTGTCGCGCTGGTTCCAGGCCCGGCGGGCTGCGGATCGTTCCCGTCTCCGTCCCGTCATGATCCCAGATCTCCGACGATGTGATTTTTTCAGCCAGCGTTCTTCTTTCGATTGTGGCCTCCGGGGCCTCTTATCTTCGCCATGGGGGAAACGGGTCCTGATGGAGGCGGGTCCTGAGGTTCTTCGTCGCTTTCGGGCTCTCGGGGCCCTTCACGGGCCCCCGGACTGTCAGAGAACGATTCGGGATGAAACGCTCGTCCCGGGGGAAGGCCCCGGGGGCCAGGACCCGTTTCCCTCAGGACCCGTGCCCCCCATGTGCATGGGCCATCAGAACTGGATATCCGGGGCGACAGCTGGCGCTGTCTCTGGGGCGGCGCATGGAACAAACATCCGACCAGAGGATGCCCTGCCTATCATCTCGGAATGGGTACATCAAGCATGGGGACGAAGGCCGGCAGCAGTTCGTTTCCATTTTGAGCAGGAGTCGTCGCTGTCGGTGTCGTCGCGGACGCTGTCCATTTGAGGCAGAAAATCGCCTGCCCAACAGCGGCCGCTGTCGTAGTTGAGCGACATTTACTGTTAGGTATTTTGCCTACTTTTGTCCGTACCCACTTCCGGCGCGCCAGTGATCGGGTGTTGAGAGGAGGGCCCGCCCTGATCCGATCGAGCCGCGACACAGTAGTGGCTGCACTTTTTGGTATTCTTGTTGGCCTCCAGGGGTCCTTGCCCGGCCCTGGGGCCGTCGAAGAACGGGTTAGGAAGAAAAGCTGGCCCCCGGGAAGGGGCCCTGGCGCCCACGGCCTCCAGAGGACTTCTCACGATGCCCAGGGCCCCAGGTGCCGTGCTCCAGGATGGCGCGGGAAGCCGGGGGCAGCCTGGGCCAGGGGCCCGGGGCACCCTTGGTAACCCCCCCTGATGTCCGTGAGACGGGGCCTCAGGGAAACGGGTTCTAGAGATGTGATAGGAGGGAAGCACACGACTTGACCGGGGAAAAGATCGAGAGAAGCAAGATCATGGCAAAGTCGCCCTCCTTGGTCCTCAATGAGCAAATGAAGAAGACAACAGACAACTTCATAGCAAGGATGGGCAGGTAGTCCGGCATGGAGGGGATTGCTCCTGGGGAGAACATGGCCCCAACCACACCCTTGGCAAGGAAGAACATGATGATACATTTGTGCCAACCCTCTGGGTAGAAAGCTCCATACACATCACGAAGAAGAATAAAAATGGCCAGCTGCCCTGCCTCCCGGGACCGGGCAGCCGGCCCGTGTCCATGCCAGACTCGTGCCAGCCCCCCCCCGCCTTTAGGGGGGCTGGTGGTGCCCACCAGGCCGGTATTCGACCTCAGCACCGCGGCCGGCCCGGCTCTCGCCCTTCTCACGCTCTAGGGCGCCCCCGGAGGGCTGTCCAGAGGTCCGCCTCCGGCTTGCCCTGCACAGAGCGCTTCACTTCAATCTTGATGCCAAACTCTTTGAGCGCCGTGAGCGAGATGAGGTCCACCAGGTGGCTCTTGATCTCTGGCGGAATGAGAGTCTGGTTGATTGTCAGCACCCACAGCCAAGTAAAGTCTTTCTTCATCGTGGGAATCTTCGGGGAGAAGCCGGTGAAGTATGTGTCCAGCTTGGTCTGGCCGAGGTCTTTAAAGCTCTTGAGCACGGCAAGGCCCTGCTGCTTCAGGCCATCGGTCAATGGCTGGCCCTCTGCCGGAGTCACCGCCTGAAGGATCTCCTCGAGCCTCGCGAACAGCGTGAAGAGGAGGAACACCTTCTTCGGGCCGAAAGGATGCTTTGTGCCACCCTGCGCCGGCGCCGAGCCCGCAGCACCACTGTCGGTAGCCATCGCGTCCGAATCGCCCTGGCGAGCCTTCTTGCCCTTCGGGCCGGTGTTCTCCGGGAGCTTTGCTTTCCACTGTTCCACACAAGCTGTCATTTTTTCACTCTCCTCGTTGGTCTTGAACAAGACTGCCAACTGCACTCTGTCGGCAACGGGCCCCATGTCCTGTCTGATGTACAGGTGGTCCCTGACGATCATGGTGAGCAGGTTGGCGTCATCGTTCTGGGGAGTCTGGCCACGACCACCGGCTCCGCGACAGGTTCTCTCCGGACCACCCACAACCATCAGGTCAACTTGGGCCTGCGACAAAGCTAAAAGCACTTGCTGACGGTATCCATCATCAAGAAGATATGGGGCGGCCGGGACGCTTTTTTTTTTATTTTTTTTTCTTTATTTTTTTTTCTTTTTTTTTTTTGTTTTTTTTTTTTTTTTTTTTTTTTTTTTTTTTTTATTTTTATTTTTTTATTGTTTGTATTGTTTTTTTTTTTTTGTATATTTTGTTTATTTTTTTTTTTTTTTTTTATTTTATGGAGATGGCTCCGCGCGGTACGCTTTCAACCGATTTGAGTGTCTTGTTTTTTTTCTTTTCTTCGTTCATCTCTTTTTTTCACTCGGTTTTTTTTTTACGATTTTTTTATTTTGTTGTTTTTTTTTTTTTTATTTTATTTTTCTTACAGTTACATGACGTGCGTGTGTATGGCAAGCAAGTCCATGGATAACACGTCGATCTGCACAGCTTTTGGCGTGTCGAGAGGCCCCTTTCGCCGTGGTGAACAAAGTGCCGCAGTGAGGGCAAGGGATTGTCGCCGCCGTGGTCTCCACAACGAATCTGGTACGAGCTAACCACATCTGGTATGGCATATGAAGTCAAGTTTTCATGTGATGTGAACACCTCTGCGCCTGTCCAAAATCTTCCTTGCAGAACGGGCACATGGATGTGTTTTCCCACCCAGGAGGACGAAGAGGGGCAGGAATACATGTGATGTCCCGATATATAGTGCTTCCCACCTGTTTGTACTCCTCCTTCCCCCTTACTCTACGGAACTGGATCGGCTTGGTCTTTGCAGCAAGAGCGGCAGCAGTAGCAGCGGCAGTGGATGATGAAGAAGTAGCCGGTCTTGCCGGACGCTTGCCTCGAAGCCGTGTCCTCGTAGCCACGGATTCCTCTCTCTGCGGGATCTCCAGAGGTACAAAAGTAGTACGGTTTTGCCGGGGACGCTTTTGATGCCGAAATTGAACATGTTGAAAAGCGATAGGGACCGGGCGCTTTTTGGATACCCTTCTTTTGATGAGCAGGTCCTCCTTCGAAAAAGTAGTACGCGTTGCTTTCCGGTCTTGTTCTCCCCCTTCAGCTCCTCCGCCTCCTCCTCCTCCTCCTCCAGGTGCCGCCTGCCCAGCTTTCCGGGCCTTGGTAAGACGCATGGCCTCGAGCTCCTCTCTCCGGCGCCGACTCGCAGGTCCGTGAGCCGATTCTCTGCGAAACCTCTCCTGCCGCCGCCTGCTCGCCAACTCCCTCTGGTCCGGGGTCTTCGTGGAGCAGACGGAGACATGTTGTGCCAGGGCCCTCTGCGAGAACAAATCTTTACAATGTGGACAAACTCCTACTCCCTCCTCATTGATGACGATGTTTTTGGTATGTTCATGATGAAAAACTCGACGTGCTTGACGTTTTTCCACCTTCCCTCCTTCCCCATGTCGTTTGGCCCACTCGTCTTCCGAAGCCTTGGAAATAACATCCCGGGTAAACTTTCCAATAAGATGTTTCCATTGTTTTCTGTCCTGGGCAATTTCCATCCAACGTGTTTGCCAATCTGTGCTGGGGATGTCCGTGTACTTCATAACATTCTTGATTCTCGTCCATAGCTGCTGCCGGGTATTCGGTCGTGGAAGTCCTTGCCGGCAGCCTTTCGCCCTAGGGAAAGCAGCTTCTGGTCGTAGCCACCCGCGCAGGAGCTTGACCTCCCAGCGTTCCCCGGGAAGCCGGGCGACGTGTCCTAGCCAGCGAAGTTGACGAAGAGCAATGTTGACCGATACTGGTAGCAGCCCAAGCCGTTTCCGAAGATCCTGGAGTGTGATCTGCATCTCGTGCATGTGCTTCTTCCTGGTGCCCGTGCAGCCCAGAATGACCTGGTTCTGGAATTTCTGGAGCTGTTGTAGTTGAAGCCGCGTGACGGCACGGCTCTCCATCCCATAGTAGAGGCATGCCTCAACGGTCGCCTTGATCACGGTGCCGCGGTCCTTGTCTGAGAGGCCCAGACGTGGGAGCTGTTTTAGGATTTTGCCCCAGATCTTGCGCGCAGCAGTAATGCGCTTCCCTGTGTCCACGTTGTGCGCCCCCGAGCTCTCCAGCCACCCTCCCAAAAGTTTGACGGCTTCAGCGTACTCTGCAGGAAGAGGAACACTGCCAGCGTCTGCTTGTTTACTACGTTTGCGGGTACTCTTAGAATATGTTCGCTTGCCCAACACCAATCGTTCAAGTTTCCCCATGTGTAGTTTTTCCCCCCATTCCCACATAACCTTTTGAGCGAGTTTTTCCACTTCAGATAGGACCCCGCCTCGGCACCACAACGTTGTGTCATCCGCAAACAATGTATCCATGAGCCGTTCAATGTGAAAATCGCCACGGAGAGGATCACCTCGTTGTCGCTTTCCGAGTACCTGTCCAGGTCTCCAACCAATCTCGGCACCTACCTGCTCCTGGAAGGTGTTCCACAATTGGTTCCGAAGGTCGAACATGACGCTCGAGTGGTTAATGTTGAAACATACTGGGCTGCTGGGATCACCTTCCCGGAAGCCTTTGTCGAGGGCAAAATGACGCGATAGTCCTTCAGAAGTGCGAACTTGGTACTTGCAGTGCCCGTGCAGGGCCAATATTTTTGCTCGAAGGGATTCAGGGATACCGGCTCGCTCGAAAACTTGATCTGCTGCTTGCCGGGGTACGCTGGGGTACGCCTTCTCAATGTCGAGGAGAACCATGATCAGAGCAGGCAGAGCACGAGCTTCGATCTCCCCAATTTCGGCCGCCATTTCAATGATACATCTTGCAATGAAAAGAGGCCCAATTGTACTGCGATCGCCACGGAATCCCCACTGAGTTTCTGGAAAAAGGCCCTTTCGTTCTGCATATTCTTGAAATCGTCCTGCAATAACTTTACATATAATACGTACGATTACATTTATAAACCACAGCGTGCGGTAGTTCCCCAGGTTGTCCCGGGGCCCTTTTTTGTAGATCCGAAAGCCCAGGACGTCGGCCACCTCAGGTGGCCAATTGGCTGGAGTAAGTTCCCAGAGGTACTGCACCGCCTTGACAAGCATGTCCCGGCCCTTCTGTTTCAAGACCTTCAGAAGCCCCACGGTGATCTCGTCGGCGCCGGCGGCGCTGTCTTTCATCCTGTGCAGGCTGTCGAGAATCTCGTCCGCCCCCGGGAGCACGTCCAGTGAGTAGTCGGTCGGGTGCACGGCGCCTCCTCTCTCCAACGTCTCCATGGTGACCTCTGCAGGGTTAGAGCCGAGATGCTCCAAGAACCGGGCAATTTCATCAAGTGTATGGGGTTCTTCTCCTTGCCTTGTCCGGCCGATCGTGTAGACCCCCAGCTTCGGCAGCAGAGAGTAAAACGTGTGAATGTCCCCCATGTTCATGGAGTCGGTGATCTGCTTGCAAAGAACACGAACATAACGAGACCTAGCCTTTCTTTTGGCATGTTCCCAACGACGTTTGTCATGACGGTGTTGTTGTCGTGCTTGGGCTTCGTGTTGTGTACGCCTAGAACCCACCACCTTCCTCCAAGACCTCTCCATCTCCTCCCGTAGCCCCGCAATCTTGACCGCGTCCTCCTCCGTATATGGTGCTCCAAAAACTGGTTGTTGTTTATCTCGGCCCAGGACCTCTTCCGCAGACGACGTAATTGCATTACGAAGAACGTCCCATGGATTTGGTGTCCCCGCAGAAGCCGACGATCCACTGGGAGGAAGAGTATCAGGGAGAGCGTTTTTAATTTTTAGCCCCAGAACCTGCCTTCTCATGTGTGTTGTTTGGCTGCCACCTCGGAGTAAAGATACATTTAGCTTTTTGTTTTGCTTCATTTGCTCTTTGCGCCTTTGACATACGATTGCTTGAAATTTTGCCTTGCGTGTGTATCGTTTCCTGTGCCCCTCCGTGGTCCCCAAGTGGAGTACGTACAACCGGCCCACATGATCGGAGACAAATCTGTTGGTCACCCTCTTGATGGTCTGGAGCCCCGCCCGGTGGGTATGTGTAATCAAGAGACCGTCGATCTCGTACCATCGCTCACTGGTAGGATGCCACCAGGTCCCACGATGGCGGAGTGACACAAAGCTATCAGCATGAGCCAAAGATGTTTTTTCCAATGTCTGCTGAAACTTGCGCCCTGTCCTCGTTGTCGGCGTGGAAAGGGCATAAGGACCAGAATGCACGGAGTCGTAGATGTAGTCTTGTCCTCGATGGGCGTTGAAGTCGCCCCCCCAGATCTGGATACCTCCTTTGGCCTCCAGGTGCTTGTGGCATGCCAGGAAGCTCTGATGCCATGTAGATATTTCGCTCGCACTGGCATTCGTCGGCAAGTAGACCCCCACAGCGTGCAGCAGCTCCTGATCCACAGTCAGCAGCTTGGCAAACACGATCCTGTCACCAACGAAGTGCCATTCGGACCCTCCCGCCTCAAAGGATAAGCGGGCACCCGGTCCCAGCAAAATGCCGACGCGCCCAGCACATAGAAGCACGTACTCTTCAATGTACACGCGGCACGGCTCCTCCCCGTGCATCTCCGCCAGGAAGGCGCAGTCCCAGTTCTGCTCCCTGGCTGTTGTGATCAAGGTAGTGAGTTTATCACGATGTGAAACGAGTCGAATTCAGGCCCTGTGTATTCTGAACAACAGCTCGGAACTTCAGGGAAGCCCTCAGTGGCAGGCGAGTGCCAGGTCGACTACGATGACGATGTCGATTGGCCTGTCTCCCCGTACCGGCAAAGCTCGCAGAGCACTGAGAGGTAATGCAGGTACTGGGAGTCCTTGTCGAACTCTTGCGACCAACTATGGGGTAGTCAATTTGCCCCGCAGGGCCGGGTGCAGCACAGCCCCCACGAAACAGGTGCCGCACCCTCCATGCCACCGGTGTGGTGGCCTCGTTCATCTGTTAGCCGCTTCTAGTTCCAGGGACCCCGTAGGGCCCGACTCGTGAGTCCATGAACTGAGCGTTCCTCCTCCGCACCGCCCCGTTTCGCGTAGTACGCCTCGTTGTAAGTCCCCGGGAAGAGGTAGATGAGGGCGAAGGGGTTCTAGAGATTCTTGGCGGTTTTCGGCCGCCAGGCCCCGGGGTCGTCGTCGTCGTCGTCGTCGTCGTCGTCGTCGTCGTCGTCGTCGTCGTCGTCGTCGTCGTCGTCGTTGTTCGGCAGGCCTTGCACCCGAATAACGCGGGCGTGGGCACTGGCTCGTGGACCGACGCTGCCTACCAGGGCCGGCGGCTGCTGCGGAAGACGGCCTGGTACGTGGCGCCGCCCTGCACGTGCGCGTACGACTACGCGGACACGCACCAGGACACGCTGCCAAGGGCGGCGGGGGAGGGAGCCAGGCAGGCAGGGAGGGAGGGAGGGAGGGAGGGAGTAGGGAGGGAAGGCCGAAGAGGAGGAGGAGGAGGAGGTGGGAGGAGGGAGGAGGAGGAGGAGGAGGAGGAGGAGGAGAGGAGGAGGAGAGGAGGAGGAGGCGGAGGAGGAGGCGGAGGAGGAGGAGGAAAGGAGGAAAGGAGGAAGAGGAGGAGGAGGAGGAGTAGGAGGAGGAGTGAGGAGGAGGAGGAGGAGGAGGAGGAGGAGGAGGAACGGAGGAAAGGAGGAAGAGGAGGAGGAGGAGGAGGAGGAGGAGGAGGAGGAGGAGGAGCATGAGGGAAGGGAAGGATGATAAGGAAGGATGGGGGCGGGGATGAGGAGGAGGGAAGGGGGATGAGGGAGGGGAAGGAGGCAGCAGGAGGATGAGGATGAGGAGGCGGGACCCTGCCACAGGGGCGTCATGCCGATTTGAATTCCAGAGAGGGCAATACGGCCCCTGCTCTCGCCGAGCTCTAGCCTCCATTACCGGGGACCCCAACGACTGGGCTTGGGCCAGCGTGAGCCCGTAGGAGGCGAGCGCTTTCGAGAGGGCGGGCCTGCTGAGGCCTTCGCCAAAGGGACCGCGGGGCCCTCCCGTTTCAGGTTGGCCTGAATTGAGGCCTCGAAGTGCTCCGCCCAAAACTCCTTCAGCTCTTCCGAAAAGGGGGGCGAGGTCACCGAGGACGCCCTTGCCCTTCTTGGGGTGGCGCTTCTCCGAAAGGACAGCGCTGCGATCCGTGGGGGCGGACGCTGTGGGCCCGCCAGGGCAGCATCCTACAAGGCCACGTTCATGCTTTTTTGATGCGTAGTCGCTGGCTCGCCGGCGCGTCGCGCCTCCTCCGATGGGAGGATGGGTGCGGCCAAGACCCGGTGGCCGTTCACTCGCCACGGGGCCAGGCTCACGGCAGCCGCTGCGCCGCCGAGGCTTACGCCCGCTGCTGCATGAGGGCGGCGCCGCACCGCCCGTGCTGCCCTGGGCGGCGGCTGCTGCGTGTCGCTGGACTCGAGCCGCCTCGCAGGGGTTGCCTGGCAAACTTCCGCCTTGCTCTCGTCGTCGTCGCCGTCGGGCTGCTGCTGGCTGGGCAGCTCGGGGGCGGCGTCCATCGCGCTGGGCTCGTCCAGGTTGTTCGCATGGTCGTCGTGGAGGTCGTCGAGCTCTGGTGGGAACTCGCCGAGGTCGATCACCTTCAGCGCCTCCACGCCCATGCTGTCCCAAGCCTTCCGCTCGCTCAGCATCGCCTCCTGCAGGCCCGCAAAATGCGCTGCCATCTTGGCGATGTGGAAGCAGCCCTCCAGCGCCTGGATGTCCGTGATGTTGGCCCCAGCCAAAATGGCGGCCCCAGTTTTGGCCTGCTCATCGGCCTTGCGGTTGCCTTCTAGCTGCACCTGCGTGATGCGCCCGCCCATCGGCCACCGCCACCTGCTCAACGTGGGCTTTGATCTTGATGACCTGCGCTCCCTCCAACGTATCGGCCACGTCCGTCCAGCGGTAGGCCCTCTGCGCCTTGGGTCCAGCAGCCCAATGTGGGGTGAGGGCGCAGCGGACCGTGGCCAAGCAGTCGACGTGTATCTTGTAGTCACCGCCCGCAATTTTGTCCGTCAGTATCTTCACCGCGTATTCCTCTGCATCTCGCGGGAGTTGCTCTGGCGCTGCTTCGAGTGGCACTGCGGCTGCCGCAACGAAGCGCCTGCTGGAGTCATAGATGATGACCGACCAGCCTGCTTTGCGCAGCGTGGGGAAGTTCTGGTCGAAGCCCGAGCCATCGACGAAGACCAATCAGCCAGTGCCCAGGAAAGGGCCCAGCTGGTGCCACGACGCCGTGCACCTGAACTCCATGTCCCTGGTGCGAGCAGGCCGCTGGAAGAGCTCTGCCACTTCAGGGAAGAGGCCCCTGGCACTGCCAGCTCCTTGACCTTCTCCGCCGCCAGCTTCAGGTCGTAGTCGGTAGTGTCACGACGCCAGGCCGCATGCGCATCGCACGCGTAGCGCCTGTGATGCAGCGAACCCTTGGCCTTGCCACAGAGCTGGCAGTTCGTCAGGCTTGGCACCAGTAGACGTTCTGACTTGGGCTCCTCAGAGCTCTCTGCTGATGCGGGCCCCACACGTCTGACTGGTGGTGCAACGGCTGCATGGTCGGCCCCCGCATCGGGCCCATGTCCCAGGACCGCGTGCTGGGGCCCTGGCGGTACACCTCCTCCACTCCAAGGGCTCTCCCTCATTCCGGCATTACGAGCTTGCCGAAGAAGGCTGGAGAGCGTCGTCGCACGTCGAACGCAATGCCGCGGGCGTCGTGGATGGTCTAGGGGTTCAAGGGTCGAATCGCCCCCCTGCGTTTTGAAGGATTTCGTTTTGTGGGAGGCGGAGCGCATCGTTTGCTTGCAGTTGGCATCGGCGTGGTATACCCACTATGCTTTTCTTCGGCGCTGCCTCCCACTCGTCTCTCTCTCACTCTCTTTCTCTCTTTCCGCCGTCGTCCGCCTAAACTTCAGCCTACGCAGAGCCTAAGCCTCAGCCTAGCCCAGCTTAAGCTACAGCCGAAGTTTAGCCGAAGTCTAGCCTAAGCATCATTTCCAGCCTCTGTCTAGAACAGGCTCTGATTCTTCAGCCTGGCCTAAGCCTGGCCTGAGCCTAAGCTTCAGCCTCGGCCTAGCCTAAGCTTTAGCCTAAGCGTTGCCCTGGCCCAAACTCAAGCCTAATCCTAAACTCCAGCCCCCGCCTGGCCCAAGCCAGGCAAGCCTAAGCTTCAGTCTAGCCTAAGCATAGCCTAAGCCTGGCCCAAATCTCAGTCTAAGCCTAAGCTTCAGCCTAGCCTACACCTCAGCCTAAGCCTAGCCTGAGCCTCGTCCAGTCCTCAGCCTTAGCTTCGGCGGAAGCCTCAGCCTAAGTCAATCCCAAACCGAGCCTAAGCCTCTGTCCAGCTTCAGCCTAAGCCTCAGCCTCAGCCTAAGACAAGCCCCAGCCTCAGCCTGAACCTCGGCCTGAGCCTAGCTTCAGCCAAAGCCTAGCCTGAGCCTCATACCTTCACTTGCTATTGCAATACTCGGGTATTACGACTACCTCATTTCTGCACCAGTTCTACTATCACAGTATTAGGGTACGACTACTCCTACAGCGCAATTGCTAGTACAACAGCTCGACCATATTTGAGTGATGCTTCACTATTAAAGTGTTAGAAGACCGTGTTGTTCCCACGGCCACCACTGCGTTATTCCCACTACTACTGCACCAGAGCACTACTATGACTTCAGCATAATGCTATTAATACAGTACTACTACGGCACTGCGCTGCTAGGGCACGGCGGCCCTGCTTGAGTACTCCAATGTTAAAGCTCCATTGCGACAACTGCCAGTATTCGAGTAATACCAGTACAGTGCTAACTTGCCACTTATGCCATATTACTGCTGCAGTGTTGCATTGCGACTATCACAGCTTCTACTACTGCTGTGACAGCGTCACCACTACATCACTACATTCTGCTAATGCCACAACGTTTTTTCCCCCCCATGCTGCGGCAGTGGGGCATTCCTATTCTAGTATTGCAGGAACACGTTGAGTATTACTCTTGCGAATGATGTACTAGAGCACTGCTTCCACAGTGCCACTATTACACTAGTACACCACTGGCCCACACCAGTACGCAACTGTTCCTAGAGCACTACTGCTGACGCACGCTAGGACGATGGTATTAATAGTTCGACAGCAGTGGGTTATGTTTACTGCAGTACTACATCGCGACTAGTAAACCCAGTACTAGGGTATGATCTTTACTGTCAGACCTGAACACAATCTACTACTACTACCACCACTACTACTACTATTACTACTACGAGTTCTATTACTACTACTACTACCACTACTACTTCTACTACTCCTACTACTACTACTAACCAACTAACCAACTAACTAACGAACGAACTAACTAGCTAGCTGACTAACTAACTAACTAACTACTACTACTCCTACTACTACTACTACTATTACTACTACTACTACTCTGACTACTACTACTACTACTATTACTACTACTACTACTACTACTACTACTACTACTACTACTACTACTACTACTACTAACTACTACTTACTACTACTACTACCACCACTACTACTACTACTACTACTACTACTCCTACTACTACTACTACTACCCTGACTACAACAACTACTACTACTACTATTACTACTACTACTACTACTACTACTACTATTACTACTACTACTACTACCACTACTAACTACTACTACTACTAACTACTGAATACTAACTACTACTACTATTACTACTACTACTACTACTACTACTACTACTACTACTACTACTACTACTACTACTACTGATTGGATGGCCACTGCGCTGCGATTCCATTGATACGATACTGTTCTGGCTGGGCACGGTATTCTAATACCACTAGTGCAGTCTCAGAGTAGCATTGCTGGAGCACGACTGCTACAGTACTGTGCTACGACTATTGCAGCGCCACCGCTACAGCACTACAGTACCAGACTACTACAACAGCGCGGGGTGCGGCATACCAGTATTCCTATAACAGTACTGTAGTGCATTCGCTGCAGGCAACAGTATATTATTATACTAACGAGTACTGAACGAGAGTATTGTTCTACAGGTCCACTACTACAATAGCACAGCATTGCTGCACACTCGACAGAACTATTCCTACAGCGCTACCGCTAGTGCACTTTGTTGCGGCAGTACTATTGTATCCGAGTATTACAGTCGTGGGGTATCTCTACTACAACACTACAGTGCGACTACTACAGCAAACACTGTAGGGTATGATCTTCATTGCAAGACCTGAGTAATATCATTATTACTACTACTACTACTATTACTACTACCACTACTACTACTACTACTACTACTACTACTACTACTACTACTACTACTACTACTACTACTACTACTACTACTACAAACTACTACTACTACTACTA